TCTGTGTCATCGGGTGTTTATCGCTTGTGTGATGTCCTGTGAGGTAAAAGAAGATATAGATTGAAAGTTTCGTCAATTTCTGTAAACACATTTGGGACTTTCTCATAAGGAGCGGAATTAGCTCCTAAGCTATACCCCTTATGTTCTCAATATATATATATATGAATGCGGATGTCCAGTAAAGATCGCAAACGCGAAAGCGTTGTCTCCGAGCTTCGGATTCAATTCAGACAATGATAAGTGGAGGAAGAAGCGTATGCGAAGGTTGAAGAGAAAGGGGAGAAAGATGAGGGCGAGATCAAAGTAAACCCCGCTTCACTTGAGTGTGAAAGTGTGTTGAGTGATGCATCATGAAGAGGATCTTCCAGCCTCCATCTGCAGTTTGTTGTGTTGTCAAACATCTCTAGATAGGATACCTGAGGACTGCACATTTTGTAACTAGTTACACCAGCATCGTTCAGCAAGCTGATATCCTGTTGCCTGGATCCATGTGATTTATGTGTACAAAGCAAACATGAGCAACCTAGGCTGGTGATTACTGTCCTAAATGTTCATTAAAATCTTGACATGGAAAAAAAAAAAGAAATATAGTAAGTATGTCAATTGTTTCGTGGACTTTTCCGCTAACTGTTTCGAGTGCGGTCAAGGGAGAGAACTCCCACTAAACTGAACTAAGTCGTCCAGCCCGCGTCCAACCCTCGTCCGGATTTGCAAGGAGAGCCGAAATATAAATTGTTCATTGGCGACCAGGTCGCCCATTGGCTCGAATTCGTCGCCGGTCGGGACAGTATTTGGGTCGCATCAACACGGCAAGTCTTGTTCAAGGCTACTTGGTGGCCAGCAGTGCTAAGCTATTTTATTTGGCGCACATAACCACAGTCACAATTATAATCTATAGCCCAGGTCGTCTTAACACATGGACCCGCTGGGCACTTGCAAGGAGGCCTCATAAGCATAGGGGCCCATGCTTAATGCTAATCTGCGTATGTCAAGTGATGAAAATATGGGGGTGACTGCAGTCAAGCTAAAACAAGGAATTCCAGGGAAATTTGAATAAAAAGCTTAACCGAATAGGGAAGCAGAAAAACATGCGCAAAACAACATAAATAACGTAACGTTTCGGTCGGGCAGCTTTTGTCAAACATAATGGGAACTACACAAAAGTAACAACGAGGAGAGTATACAGATCTCGGCTATCCTCCGACACACGGTCGGCAAAGATGGCGGCGGTAAAATATCCAGCCGAGCCGCGGTCACTGGTCATTGCGCACTTGGGGTCACTGGTCAACTGTGCGCTTTCGGCGTGGACTGGGGCTAAACTAGATGGCTAGGACTCAAGAGCAAAGCTGCAGGAGATGCGGAAGCTGCTGCTCGTGAGTCCTAGCCATCTAGTTTAGGGGGCCACATGGCGGTAGCTATTGTTGGCGGAAAACTGCCGGAAGACCGCAAATTAAGTAGCCGGAAGCGCGCAATGATCCGTGACCGCTGCTCGGCTGGATATTTTGCCGCCGCCATCTTTGCCAACCGTTTGTCGGAGGATAGCCCAGATCTCAAAGGAGTGTCGTGAGCAACGTTTTAAAAAATGGGATGCGGAATAAATAAAATAAAATAAAATAAACGATAGCTAAAAAAATATAGTTGCATAAAATAAAAAGTAATATTTTTTATATATAATATAATAGAAGGAATAAAAGAAATACAAATGTTAATAATACAGAAATGATACTGATAAGAGATATAATCAAGTGATAATATGAAAGAAAAGAAAAGAATTACATGTAAAATGTGATAAGAGTAAAACTGTTTAGATGAAGGTATGTTGAATATTGATACCACCTGGACTTAGAACGCCTAGGCTGTGGATGAGGCGATTTCCAAAGGGAGGCGCGTAGTATACTCGCTAGAGCAAGATTTTAATGCTGTGACAGATATATCATGTTTACCTCTGTAGTCAGAGCTTTTGAAATGGAGAGGGATTGGTTTAAGTGTCTTCTTGTCAATATTGACCGGGAACACCTCTCCGATATTGACAAGAAGACACTTAAACCAATCCCTCTCTATTTTAACAGCTCTGACCACAGAGGTAAAGATGATATATCTTTTTTTCTTTTTTTTTTTTTTTAGATCTGGCTTATTTGTATGCAGACTGTTAGTTCCTTTAGTTTTCGTTTTAATAATTGCATATTTCGACACTGAGTGCAATGATGGCCTGGGCTGAAACTCCTACAAGCAACAGTCACTCACGACATGTATTTTTGGAATAAGAGAATTTCTGTACCAACGACGTGGCAGAATTTAAAAAGACGGCAATTTCAGCTATACTGACTTCAGCTGTTCAACCAATAAAACATATAAGGAGTCTCAGAGTAACAAAAAAAGAGCCAAGGTTCTTTGTGATTTACATAACTGTTATTATTAAATATTGTCATTAGCAAGTCTCCAACAGTCTACCCGAACGAGAGCTATATCGAAAAAATTCTTGTCGATGACTTTGCTGTTTAGACGGCCACAAACAAAAAACACCGAACATCTTTCTGTCTGCTTCAAAGGTCAGTGAAGAAAGTAGAAAACTGTACGAAGAATTGAGGTCCAAAACTTTCATTGATCGTTTCGTCTTTCTAGACGATCGTGTTATATTTTGTCATAAAGAGGCATGGAATCACAACAAAGGGTGACCATATCGTCGGGACAGTATCGTTTTTAGGTAGGCCCAAACCTTTGGGTCTATACTAAAGGCAAAAAAACGTCCATTGTCCCAATTGATTTTGAATATTTGGAACGGTCTGGGTCTGCTTAAAAAAAAAAAAAAAGAAACGATAATGTCCTTGCAAACACGTGACTTATGGTCACCATAGACCAGGGATAAAATTCATATATAATTTCCATGCCATATTTCCCAGATTGTTTCTAGTTTTGTTCTAAGTTCTTGGAGTTCAGCTTCGAGACCAGTCGTGAGATCACTGTCGTCGGCGAAACGTAAATAACACGGATATAGATATTTTTTTAAATAGTCATGACAGAAATGAAATGTTTACGTACTATGCTAAGCGTAACGGGGAAAGATCGACTTAGGAACAATGATATCAGGAGGAGAATCGGTACAGAACCGACACTGTACTTTATAGGTAGACAACAAATCAAATGATTTGGCCATGTAACAAGTTTGGCAGCAGACAGGGCACCACAGAGAGCAATGTTATACAGATATATTAGTAAAAGACCCAGAGGTCGACCACGCAGTTATAGACCGCAGAAATATCAGAGACACTGAAAAGTATTACATACGAAGCGAACAGAAGGAGCCGTTCTAGAGATCTCTTCCTCCCCAGACGCCGCGAGGCATTTCAGGAGAGGAGAAAAGAAGAAGATAGATATTTCTTTACTTACATACACAACAATCAAGCTGATAGTCAAAAAGTTATATTTTTGTTAAAAAGTAATCTGTGTTTACACACATCAGCCTTTTTTTTTTTTTTTTAGTTGCAAATTTCTTTACGAGACATAACGAACCAGCATTGATATGTGTTGCCTATTTGATTTTACTGGACAATTTTACGTTCATTGCTTACTGAGTGGTCGAGGCCCATACCGTTATTAAAATCACCGCAAAGCGGGCTAATGCCAAATCGCATGCAATTGACTTCGAACCCTCGTATGTCAGACTATTCTCCTCCCTGGATGCCATATTTCAGCATCCGTCTTGCACACCCCTCTGGTTTCTCAACTTGTGATTGTGATGAAGAGCTATTAAACTCAGTCCACAGGAGTTGCTACTTTGGTGCCATGTGGTGAGGAAAGTCTCCACAGCAACCACGCTAAGATAGATGCAACCTTCTTCGTTGTTTAGAGAAGTTATGCACGAAGCTTACTGAAGATTTACAGCCAACAAAACAGCCAACAAACAAAATCTTGTTTTTTTTTTAAACTTGTCAGTCCAACAAATTTTGAAGCTTGCACACGCAAAGTAAAAAATGCACCGCAGCTGCCAGAAGTGCCAAGACCAACAGTTCCCTACTAGAATTGCTCACTGTTCGCGCTACACAACTACGACTCCCGGCGAATCGTAGGGAAGATAGACATTCGTGTACTGTCGTGAAATTATTTTTATACACAGTCCGGCCATTAGATAATGAGACTGATTTTGTTATGACAAAAACGACATCATTGAAGGAAAGCACGCCATTCAAACAGGCGCCATTCGTCTATGGTATGGCTACAGTGTAGAGCCGCCTGGTCAGCAGACGACAAAAAAATGTGGCATTTTGTTCAAATAGTGAGAGCTGCTTTGTTGCGCATACATCACGAAGCGAAGAGCGAACATTGAATTATGTTTTAAACTCAGAAAGAGGACTATGTAAACAATTAAATTTATGAAACCCGTTTTTGAGGATCAATGTCCAAAGTAAAATCGGTCTCGTTATTTGAACTGTCGAACAGTGTATAGTCGACACAAGGAGACTAGAGCGTTCAGTGTACTTTCCATGTGCAGCAAGTTAATATCATTATCTCCCCATACCCAAACTCAACAAAATAATCTTCATGACTCACTATTATAATTTGATGTTCACATAAATCAATTGTAACTATTTTCAGACACAAAAAGCAGAAACATATGTATGCACAGAGATAGGACTTACAGGTATACCACTGGTGTAGCAATCACGGATACCCTTATTATAGCTCAATTCTGTGTATTTGGGTCTTGCCCTAATTAGCTTGCCAACCAGTTTGTGGCTCTTGAATTCACAGCTGTCAGTTCGTAAGCATAGGGGTACTCTAACATAACTGTGTTATACAGCTGAACTGAGTTTCTATCATTTGCTTAAGTTTGATTCTCATGCGTGATGGTTTCATCCTACTGACGGCAATTCTGGAAAAGAACATCGACCACCGCCGTCTTAGTCACAGGAATTCAAATCAAGTAGCGGTATACGGGAGGAATATAGACAGACAAACAGACGAATATAGGCAATATCTATAGTGTTGTCTATGGAGCACTTCTAGTGTCTGTAGCTGCCTCTCAGACTGTGAGCCAGTTTGTTAAAACCAGGGCTGACTGTTGCATTCCGACAGGCAGTAGGAGGCTCAAAGATTGAAGGATTGGTTACTCCTGCGACCACGTTAAAGATGTCTGTGTGGACTGTCTCATTGGTCTGGGAGTTGTGCAGCCATGTGCGGACTGGGTAGCAGTTGATTCTGGTGAACACGCCGAGCCAGTTCTCTCCTAAAGATATATGATATAATATGATTACTTAAGTTCAAAGATGTTGTAGCGAAATTTCATGTAATCAAATTTGAACTTAATATTTTTTTTTTTGCTGCGTCGTCGAACTAGCATATATTACAGTCCTCAATCCCCGTGTGGGTTCTGGGGCCCCATTGTGGGGAAAACAAGAATAGACACACTGCCTCCCCAAAAGCATGTCGTAAAAGTCAACTAATAAAGGAGCTTCCTTTGAAGTCGGAGTGCATCTGCGGGAAAGGCAAGGAACCAACAGTCTGTATTCAAGAGAATGAGATCTGTAAAACTGATGCACACGCAACACTCAGGTTCTGGAGCAGGACTGCAGTTCAGTAGTGGACGAGCAACCAGAACTTTCCGGCAGAGTGTACAGCTGGTGAACGCAAATAAGAAGAAGAAGAAGACAGCCCTCAATAGACTTTTCATGTGCAGTTAAAGCCACCATTTACCAAAACGCAACAAATCAACCTTCCTGTCTCATTATTATGATTTAACATTCACAGAAATCAAAGGAGATCATGCTCAATCAAACACAATCATACACAATCAAAAATCTTTACAGGATTGCAGGTTACATCAGTTTTTTGTAGCCGTTACGGGTATCCCAGTTACAACTTTTTTTTTTTTTAAGGCTGACCGAGGAAATAACACTTTACACCATAACTACTAAAATCTCAATCATAACAATAATGTCATAATGAGGAAAGGCGAATGGAAAAACAATGTACCACACAACTTCCTAAACTTTCATCAAAACAATGATATCGGCAATAGGGGGAAAAAAGAAATAACAATGTACCACATAACTTCTCACATCCTCCTCGTAACAATGATGCTAGGAATGGGGACAAGTGATGGTATAGACTCCTGGAAGAAAAATATCATGCCTAACATTCTGACAACTATTTTCGCACACAGGAGAGTAAAGTAAAGGACAATTTCCCACGCCTTCAGCCGCATTGGCATATAGGGCTAGTCCTAAATTGTATAGACCAATCGGCATTTTGTTGTTGGTGTGGACAACATCACGCTGGCTGTCTAACCAGGCCTTTTACGTGATATCCCTTTAAGGCTGGATCAATCTTGGGGTCAAGGTCGTTTTCTAAGAGGGACAAAGTCCGAAAGCTGGAAAAAAAAGGCACGGAAAATAGAAAGACAACACCTAGTTTACGTAATTAGTAGTAGTAGTAGTAGTAATAGTAAATTTTACCCCATTAGAACATCACACAAGCGTAAACACCCGATGACACAAAGTGCCCCCATGCGGATGAGGATCACCCGTGGAGAGGTCCCGGAAACCGCGTTTAGCCATTAGATCATATTTATTGGCGGGCGATATTGCGGCCCCTGGGAAGAGCCAGGATGGGACTTCAAAATAACGAAAATTTGCATCCCAAACCGGGATGAGCTTATAATTTTTGCTATACGTAATTAGGGCACCTTTGTTAATAAGGGGATGAAAAATCTTATACTTTCTTGGCTCTTTTAGTCCATTTTCTTCTGTCTTCTTCTACTTCTCGGTGTTTCCGTTTTCATGTATTACATTCTCACTGCCGACATCGCCGAATTCATTATCGTTAGGTGGCCGAACCAACACAGTGTCTATTTCTCAGTTACTTTAACAATGGGTATTGTCCCGATATTTCTTCATTTATTGATTCTGTGCTGAAAATATGCCCTTACTTACTTCGAACATCACTTCTATCCGACCATTCGACTGCCTCGATAGTTTCTCCAGGGCCACCGATGTAGTACTCTCCCTCGAATCTTCCTTCAGGGGGTACACCAAAGGGTCGGAAGGGTCCAGCCTGTGACTTGGTGCATTGTTTGCTTTGGCGGTTATACTGGTAGGCTACGTTCTCTTTGTGTAGTATAATTATCTGGTAATATCTGTGGAGGTGAGAAAATGTAGTCAATATGTATGCTAATGTTTCAAGGGAAAGACCATGCAAGAGATGGAGCGACATCATCAGGAGAAATGAACTTGTACAATGCATTGGGAAAAGCGCACAAACGATCCTTACATCTCCCCCAACATCTCGCTGAGGTAAAAAGTGGAAGAGAAGAAGAAGAATGTTTCAATGTTTAAAATTAGGGGCATATATAATCTTCTGTAAGTTTAATGCATTGACTCTTAATTCCCTCTAAACCACGAAAAGATGTTGAATCTATCGGAGCGTGGTTGGTGTGGGGATTGTTATCACCACATGGCACCAAAGTACCAACTCCTGTGGACCTTGTTTTATAGCTCTTTATTACAATCCACAAGCTGAGAAACTAGAGGGGCGTACAAGAAGGATGCTGGAAATTGACATCTACGGGAGGAGCATAAGTCTGACACACCAGGTTCCAAGTCAACTGCAAGCGGTTTGGGAACAGATAGCTTTGTGGTGATTTCGATAATGGTATGGGCTTCGACCACTCAGTAAGTATTGGTAGAGCTCATCATCATCATGTAGCAGGTCCTTTGCAGAACGTCGCTCTCATCACAGTCTGCCTGAAAAAAAAAAACTCGGTCTCTCGCCAGCTCTCCCGCCTCATGCACTTTCATACTCAAGGAGCTACTGAACGTAAAATTCTCGAGTAAAATTAAATAGGCAACAAATATCAGTACTGGCTTGACATGTCTCGTAAATAATATGCATTTAACTTTTTTGTAAGGCTCATATGCAAAAGAGAATACTTTTTAACAAAGAGATTACTTTTCAACTAACTGCTTGATGTATATGTAAGCCCCAAAACATCTATATCCGTGTAATGTATATGTAAGCCCCAAAACATCTATATCCGTGTAATGTATATGTAAGCCCCAAAACATCTATATCCGTGTAATGTATATGTAAGCCCCAAAACATATATATCCGTGTAATGTATATGTAAGCCCCAAAACATATATATCCGTGTAATGTATATGTAAGCCCCAAAACATCTATATTCGTGTAATGTATATGTAAGCCCCAAAACATCTATATCCGTGTAATGTATATGTAAGCCCCAAAACATCTATATTCGTGTAATGTATATGTAAGCCCTAAAACATCTATATCCGTGTAATGTATATGTAAGCCCTAAAACATCTATATCCGTGTAATGTTTATGTAAGCCCTAAAACATCTATATCCGTGTAATGTATATGTAAGCCCTAAAACATCTATATCCGTGTAATGTATATGTAAGCCCTAAAACATCTATATCCGTGTAATGTATATGTAAGCCCTAAAACATCTATATCCGTGTAATGTATATGCAAGCCCCAAAACATCTATATCCGTGTAATGTATATGTAAGCCCTAAAACATCTATATCCGTGTAATGTATATGGAAGCCCCAAAACATCTATATCCGTGTAATGTATATGTAAGCCCTAAAACATCTATATCCGTGTAATGTATATGTAAGCCCCAAAAACATATCGTGTAATATATCCGTGTAATGTATATGTATGTAAGCCCTGAAACATCTATATCCGTGTAATGTATATGTAAGCCCTAAAACATCTATATCCGTGTAATGTATATGTAAGCCCTAAAACATCTATATCCGTGTAATGTATATGTAAGCCCTAAAACATCTATATCCGTGTAATGTATATGTAAGCCCCAAAACATCTATATCCGTGTAATGTATATGTAAGCCCTAAAACATCTATATCCGTGTAATGTATATGTAAGCCCTAAAACATCTATATCCGTGTAATGTATTTGTAAGCCCTAAAACATCTATATCCGTGTAATGTATATGTAAGCCCTAAAACATCTATATCCGTGTAATGTATATGTAAGCCCTAAAACATCTATATCCGTGTAATTTATATGTAAGCCCTAAAACATCTATATCCGTGTAATGTATATGTAAGCCCCAAAACATCTATATCCGTGTAATGTATATATAAGCCCCAAAACATCTATATCCGTGTAATGTATATGTAAGCCCCAAAACATCTATATCCGTGTAATGTATATGTAAGCCCCAAAACATATATATCCGTGTAATGTATATGTATGCCCCAAAACATATATATCCGTGTAATGTATATGTAAGCCCCAAAACATCTATATCCGTGTAATGTATATGTAAGCCCCAAAACATATATATCCGTGTAATGTATATGTAAGCCCCAAAACATCTATATCCGTGTAATGTATATGTAAGCCCCAAAACATCTATATCCGTGTAATGTATATGTAAGCCCTAAAACATCTATATCCGTGTAATGTATATGTAAGCCCTAAAACATCTATATCCGTGTAATGTATATGTAAGCCCTAAAACATCCATATCCGTGTAATGTATATGTAAGCCCTAAAACATCTATATCCGTGTAATGTATATGTAAGCCCTAAAACATCTATATCCGTGTAATGTATATGTAAGCCCTAAAACATCTATATCCGTGTAATGTATATGCAAGCCCCAAAACATCTATATCCGTGTAATGTATATGTAAGCCCTAAAACATCTATATCCGTGTAATGTATATGTAAGCCCCAAAACATCTATATCCGTGTAATGTATATGTAAGCCCTAAAACATCTATATCCGTGTAATGTATATGGAAGCCCCAAAACATCTATATCCGTGTAATGTATATGTAAGCCCTAAAACATCTATATCCGTGTAATGTATATGTAAGCCCTAAAACATCTATATCCGTGTAATGTATATGTAAGCCCTAAAACATCTATATCCGTGTAATGTATATGTAAGCCCTAAAACATCTATATCCGTGTAATGTATATGTAAGCCCCCAAAAACATCTATATCCGTGTAATGTATATATGTAAGCCCTAAAACATCTATATCCGTGTAATGTATATGTAAGCCCTAAAACATCTATATCCGTGTAATGTATATGTAAGCCCTAAAACATCTATATCCGTGTAATGTATATGTAAGCCCCAAAACATCTATATCCGTGTAATGTATATGTAAGCCCTAAAACATCTATATCCGTGTAATGTATATGTAAGCCCTAAAACATCTATATCCGTGTAATGTATATGTAAGCCCTAAAAACATCTATATCCGTGTAATGTATATGTAAGCCCCAAAACATCTATATCCGTGTAATGTATATGTAAGCCCCAAAACATCTATATCCGTGTAATGTATATGTAAGCCCTAAAACATCTATATCCGTGTAATGTATATGTAAGCCCCAAAACATCTATATCCGTGTAATGTATATGTAAGCCCCAAAACATCTATATCCGTGTAATGTATATGTAAGCCCCAAAACATCTATATCCGTGTAATGTATATGTAAGCCCCAAAACATCTATATCCGTGTAATGTATATGTAAGCCCCAAAACATCTATATCCGTGTAATGTATATGTAAGCCCCAAAACATTTATATCCGTGTAATGTATATGTAAGCCCCAAAACATCTATATCCGTGTAATGTATATGTAAGCCCCAAAACATCTATATCCGTGTAATGTATATGTAAGCCCTAAAACATCTATTTCCGTGTAATGTATATGTAAGCCCCAAAACATCTATATCCGTGTAACGTATGTTTCGCGGACGACATTGATTTCAGGGCTGGTTCCAAAGCTGAACTCCTAGAACTTATAAACAGTCTGGGAAATATGGCATGGAAATTAATGCCGAGAAAAGCAAGATACTGGTAAAGAGCCACGACAATCGAGAACCTACCAATCTACAGATTTAAAAAAAAAGAGGGGGGGGGGGGCTGCAAGAGGTTGAAAACTTTGAATATTTAGGCTTCCACATATGTAAAAGTCGGCTCTGTGGCTAAGTCGATGCGAACGCTTCGTAATGCCGGGATGCCGGGTTTGATCTTAGCTGCGGGCCATTGGCCTTGCGTTGGTTTCGACAGTGGTATCAAGAAAGCCGACCGTTTAGGAAGAAATGGCAAACTACTGGAAGTAAATTTGCCTAAAGAAACCACACAATAGCCAGGGACTGTTGGGTTGGTTCTGCAACGTCCTGTGAAGAATACGTAACTAACTAACTAACATATGTAACAATGGCAGCTGTACCAAAGAGATCAAGACAAAACTTGATGTGGCAACATCCGCGATGTCCCAGCTAAATACGATGTGGAAGAGCCAAATCTGCATAACAGTCAAGGTCAATATTTACAAATCACTGGTATTGTCTTTTTTCTTATACGGATGTGAGAGATGGACTCTCACTGTGAAAATGGAAAGGAGATTCTCTCTTCATCTATCTTCTTTTACCCCACCAGGAGATCACACAAGCGATAAACACCCGATGACACAAAGTGCCACTATGTGGATAGGGATCACCAGTGGAGAGGTTCCAGAAACAGCGTCTGGCCATTAGACCGGGCAAGAGCCAGAGTATGGCTTCAAATAACGAAAAATTGCATCCTACGAAGGGATGACAAGATAACAAAAGAAGGATTCAGGTTTTTGAATATAAATGCTTTAGGCAAAGTTTATAAATTAGCTCTTTAGAACTTGAAAGTTAGTTGCGTATCCTTTACAGGACGTTGCAGAACCAACCCTAACAGCCCCTGGCTGTTGTGTGGTTTCTCTAGGCAAGTTACATCCAGTAGTTTGCCATTGCCCACTGGACGGTCGGCTTTCTTGATACCACTGTCGAAACCAACGCAAGGCGCATTGCCCGCAGCTGGGATCGAACCTGGCATCCCTTCATTACGAAGCGAAGTGTTCGCATCGACTTAGCCACAGAGCCGACCTTTAGAACATACAACTAACAAATATGTCAGAGACAAAATAAACAATTTTCGCAGAACACCAGAAGCGTCTTTTGACAGTAGTAAAACGTCGCAGGCTAGTTTTGTTGGGGCACGTGATAAGACATGATTTGATTACAAAGACTGTACTTCAAGGAACGCTGGGATGTAGTCGAGGAAGAGATGAGCAAAGAAAAACCTGGAATTATAACGTCCAGAAATGGACAGGGTTAAATTATCATGCATTTGTTCAACAAGCAAAAGACAGATAAAGATGGCGGGTTTTGTATGTTAGTGCTTCCATCGATACACCTCCAAGACCCTAACGGGTCAAACGTTATGTTATGTTATATTATGTTATGTTATATTATGTTGTGTTATATTATGTTATGTTATATTATGTTATGTTATAAGTAAGGTAAAGGACCCGTTTTACCCCAGTGGCGCATCAAATGCTAGATTCATATTTACAGAGACCAGGCTGCACAAGGTAGATGATGTTGTCAACATCCTGCCGGCCGCCTATACCTCCTAGGACTTTACCTGACACCCATTTTAGACTGGCTAGGAGATCTAGGAGCCAAGATCATTTCTGAAAAAGAAAAACGATGGAGATTCGAACCTAATAGTTTGAGGCCGGAGACGAGCGTCTAGCCGCTACACCACCGCGACCCTTTTTGGTGTGTTGACTCTGCACTGACACAAAGTGACCGACGTGATTTTTACCGCATTTATTGATCTATCACTGTACAAGTTTTACATCGTCTGCCCGATGCGAAAATGGCGGGAAAGCAGTCTTTTACTTACAAACTAACTAGGCAAAAAAAACAAGGGGAACTCACTGTCTGCCTGGCGTTGTGCGGGAATCCTCTCTCTCATAGAAAGCGAATCTCTGCCCCTGGAAATCATAGGCGGCGTCAAACTGACGGAAGAATACCCGCTCTTGGTCATACTGTATGGCCACAAACTAGAGAAATGTGTAAATTTATAGGGAACCATTATGATCATTTATTATTTCTACCATTTTGTTTTTACATGAAAACAAAATAATAGTAAGGTGAATTGTCGTTTTTCCACTCGCCAGTATCAAACCTAGTAAATTGCGCTGTAGCCATATTTTAACGTACACATCTGTGCTGGAAAAGTAAGATGGTCAATATCGATTGCCTTTACTTTCCATGACATTTTCTGGTACCCAATTCCAGACTGGACTGACCAGTGAGTCAAGGTCACGTATTGGACAAATCCGTTTTGATCTATCTATCTATCTATCTATCTATCTATCTATCTATCTATCTATCTATCTATCTATCTATCTATCTATCTATCTATCTATCTATCTATCTATCTATCTATCTATCTATCTATCTATCTATCTATCTATCTATCTATCTATCTATCTATCTATCTATCTATCTATCTGTCTATCTATCTGTCTATCTGTCTATCTATCTATCTATCTATCTATCTATCTATCTATCTATGTCTGTCTATCTATCTATCTGTCTATCTATCTATCTGTCTATCTCTATCTATCTATCTATCTATCTATCTATCTATCTATCTATCTATCTATCTATCTATCTATCTATCTATCTATCTATCTATCTATCTATCTATCTATCTATCTATCTATCTATCTATCTATCTATCTATCTATCTATCTATCTATCTATCTATCTATCTATCTATCTATCTATCTATCTATCTATCTATCTATCTATCTATCTATCTATCTATCTATCTATCTATCTATCTATCTATCTATCTATCTATCTATCTATCTGTCTGTCTGTCTGTCTGTCTGTCTGTCTGTCTGTCTGTCTGTCTGTCTGTCTGTCTGTCTGTCTGTCTGTCTGTCTGTCTGTCTGTCTGTCTGTCTGTCTGTCTGTCTGTCTGTCTGTCTGTCTGTCTGTCTGTCTGTCTGTCTGTCTGTCTGTCTGTTGCTAACTTCTCATTATACTTTTCTTAACGTTCAGCAGCTGTAAACACCGGCAGAAAGTTTTGGTTGTTCGTCCATTTCTGCGCTGGTTTTGTTCCAGAACTTGGGTTTTACATGCACATCCACAGATCTGGCTTATGGTTTGCAGAACGTTGGTTCCTTGCCTCTCATGCAGATGCATTTCGACTTCGAAATAAGCACTGCTTATTAGTTGCCTCTTACGTCATGCTCGTTTAGGGGAAGTGACAAGGGCTTTATTTTTGTAGTCCCCCAAAATGGAGTCCCAGAGCCAATAATGGGACATACCACTCTAGAATTGCATCCACATTTTAACAGCTGCATTTTTAACAATAACTAAATATTTAACACGATTAGGCTGCCCCTGGGCAGCAGTTTAACCATATATTTGTGGTAGATTTATCAGACAACAAATCTATACTCCACTCACCAACGCGTAGACACACTGACTTTAGGTGCTGGTCAAAAGGTCTCAACGAGCTTTAAGACTAAGAAGTATCCTTTACGGGACGTTGCAGAACCAACCCCAGCATTTTTTTGGCTGTTGTGGTTTTTCTAGGCAAATGTTACGTTCAGTAGTTTGCCACTGCTCCTGAACGGTAATCTCTCGGTACCACTGTCGAAACCAACGCAAAACAAACCGTCTGCAGTTGGAATCGGCATTACGAAGTGCGTTTCGCAACACTTAAGCCACAGACGCCGACGCTTTAAAACTACTAGCGCAAAAAAAAAATGTATTCGTTCCTAGAAGTGAAATGGTTAAATTGCTATATACAGTAAAACATCGTTAACTGGATTTTTAAGAGACCTCAAAAACGAGAGTTCACGTTAAAAAAATGTGTGCTAATCGGGACTCAGACTGGTACATCCCCGCAGCGAACAACATTTAGTTTGTGTTAACCGAGGTTCTTCTTAAGCGTTACCGTATTAACGAGGTTTTGCAGTGACAGACTTACCGAGAGCAGAGGGGGAGAGAAACATGGCTGGGGGATCTGTGAATACGTGACGCCAACAAGAAATAATAACGACAGAATCTTAAACATTGTGTTGAGATCGAAATGCAGCTCAATAACTGAAAGATCTCGCCGGCTTCTGAGAGGCGTTGTTCGCGTGTGAAGTGGGTATATCTTGTTGTTGATTGTATGCCAATGTTCTCTTTATCTTTCTGTTTTTAGCACGCGAGAACAGGAGTGTGGGTTCCAGGGGCCCCATTGTGGGGAAAACAAGAATAGACCCACTGCCTAACCAAAAACATGTCGTAAGAGTCGACTAATTGGGGAGCTTCCTTTGAAGTCGGAGTGCATATGCCGGAGAGGCAAGGAACCAACAGTCTGTATTCAAGAGAATGAGATCTGTAAATCTGATGCACACGTAACACTCAGGTTCTGGAGCAGGACTGCAGTTCAGTAGTGGACGAGCAACCAGAACTTTCCGCCAGAGTCTAAAGCTGGTGAACGCGAAGAAGAAGAAGGAGAGCGGTAACCTGGAAGAGGAAGGAGAGTTCAGGCACCTGAAGCACAACCAACCAAAAAAACCTACCCCATTTTAAACAGAGTGGGAGCACTGTCCCCTGCCCTAGAAAATAGTAATTGATGCTTAACGGGGGCCCTGGCCATCTATAGACGTGCTATTTTTTAAAGTATTTTTTTTAAACACAATTCATACTATCTCAAATATATTATTATACGTATTTGCCATTCAAAACATTACATACTGTAATAATTATGCTTACCTAAAAGTTATTATTAATATGCACTTTTAAAAAAAAATGTCTCACGCCCAAGAGCGAACTTAGCCACCTATCCACATTGTTTTCTTTGTGTCGACGCCCCTGATTAGGACTACTTTTTGTGTTTATCTCACATAAAACTGAAGATATGAAGAGCTCTCAAAAACTGTCATTGGAAATAAAATGCATCGAGTTATCACATTATTTAGGGTCACGCGTTACTGTAGATAGATGTACATTTGGGAGATTAGAATGTTGCGCGCTATCAAGACCGACAGTCGCCCCACAACAGATCTTACGGGACTCAAATATATAGATCCGGAAACCTATTGTATTAAAAATTATGAAACTATTGCAAAACAAGCCCAAACAATTGTGTATGTTGTGGTTTTTCTAGGCAAATTTACGTTCAGTTGTTTGCCTATTTAGGTTGACTCAAATATCACTGTATGAACAAAAGCTGCCAAATCGCCTGCACTTGGGATAAAACCCGTCACCTCGGCATTACGAAGCGAGTTCGCAACGTCTATTGTGGTGTTTGGTGGTCATGCCTGTCTACGACCTCATGTGTCCCGTACTTTGAATCAGTTCTGACTAGGGCTGTACCGATTAGTGATTTTCACTATTCAGCCGAATACGAACAGCAGGACAAACTATTCGACCGAATACAATAGTGTATCATCACCATTAGGTGCCTTGCCGACTGTCGTAAGCGATTATGCCTCGTCACTATCTGCGATCTCCTGCTGCGTGTATTACTTCATGTGCTAACACACCTCCATGCCATGCAACAAGATTGTCAAGAATCTTCTCTCGTTGTCTTCCTCTATCTCTCCTTCCACAGATCTTTCCAGTGGTCATCACATGTTCCATTTTTCCCTCTTCTCATAACATGGCCGAAAAATGATGACTGTCTCCTTCTGATGTCTGTGATTAGTTGTCTTCAGGCTCAAAACCTCTTGGTTGCATTTTTTTTTTTTGGGGGGTCTGTCCAAGGTTGTTCAAGCATTTTTCTGTAAAACCACATTTCTGAGGCCTCAAGAAATTGTTTGGCCTGCCTACCGATTGTCCAGGACTCACATCCATATGTTAAAACTGAATGTATGTAGACATGACAGAATTCTTTTTCTAACCTTCAATGACAAAGATTCAATGCATAAGATGTTCTTAATTGTATAAAATGCAGTTTTTGCATGTCTTCTTTTCGACAGTGGCGAGGTATGACAATTTAAATTTTAACTTTTAGGTATCTTCATGCCTTCTTTAATAATGTCACAATTTACAGCCGACTTTTCTTGATTTTCGCAGCGGCAACCGTGACAAACGCACCCAGTTTGAGAACCTCTGCTGTAATGCCTCGGTCGAGTCAGCAGGCAAAGACTTTGCCAGCTGCTGTACCACGCAACCGGGTCGCAGTTTCCCCCGCTACGACAGACTTAGGCAACAGCAACTTTTGTGTTAATGAGATAGTTTTTTCAGTGCATCGCAGTGTATGCAGAAAAGGGTGTAAGGCAACCACTATTCATATTCGACCAGACCGCAAGTATTCGGCCGAATACCGAATAGCTATTAGGTCCACTATTTGACCCCGAAGCGAATATTCGATACAGCCCTAGTTCTAACACTAACGGTGTCCCACGCTACGTTGTCAAACTGTCAATTCTCTTTCTGCCTCATTTTCCCACCGTCACAATATTCTCGCTTTCTCCGTCTCACGTCACGACCAAAGAACGTAGATTGTCTCCTTCTGGTGTAGGTAATGAGTTCTTTTCGTCGCTCAGCTTCTTTCAAAGCATCTTCTTTACTCTTTTCCTCTGTTCATAGTATTCTCATCATTCCTCTATAAAACAACTTGCTTCAACAAAAAAAAAAATGTTTTTCTTAACCGTCTAAAATTTATTTACGTTTATCAGGGTGGAATTTATATAGATATTGAGAATTCTCTTTCTCATCTCAACTGACATCCCTCTTATCGACATACATCTTCATTATTCTTTTTACCTGGTGCTTTTACCATTTGTCTATAAAACCACAGCAACCCCGCTTCCACACAATTTTCAACTAATTGGCCAACTTTCCACGATTCGCTTCCGTATATCAGAAAAGAATACGACAAAACTCTTGATCCTACTTTTGTGGGTTCCAGGACCCCATTATGGGAAAAACAAGAATAGACCTGGAGTGTGCTGGACCAGTAATGGTCTGTAGTTGTGTCCACATCCTCTGGGGATTGCTTTTTTAGCATCTTAAAGAATGTCATTCCATACAACATTTATGTCCTTAGCATGTCCCTCGCGGACAACGTACTTGTTTCGCTGCCATAGGTTTCAAACATTACTCGGTCTCCGGAAAACTGATACATTCCTGGACAGTAAGAACAATCAGATGGTCACCGTCCTGCGTCTGATACTACTTCTCAGTCCAGATATATCTGGGGTAGGGAGGCAAAATCTTGCCACATTGTCTGCCACCCTGGGAGTAGAAGGTCTTCTCCAGAGAGTAATCATCTTGCCAATTTTTCCTCTTCCTCTTTTCCAGCTCTGTGAAGGACCGTTAGTCCCCTACATTATCTGTTACCAGCTCTGAGACTCCATGACTTCTCACAAGTGTCCAAAATATTTCAATTGATACTATTTTGTTTGTGTGTCTGTTACTAGGGAAGTAACCCTCTTCAATATTCAGCTCTTGAAGTATGGATGCATTTGTTCTTTTCTTTACCCAAGATATTCTTAGAACCTGTCTGTAACATTTATACTCAAATGCATTTATGCGCTGTTCCGCTTGTTTAGTAAGTGTCCAGGTCTCACAGGCGTATGTTGCAATGGGAAAGATGCATGCTCTTAAAAATCTGACCTTTGTAATTCTATCTGTACAATTCCATAATTTATTCAGTTGTTTTAGTCTTTGAAGAGCAATTGATAGTCGTCGTTTAATTTCTTTCATTGTGTCACCATTGTTGGTAACCAGTGACCCAAGATATTCGAAATGTTCCACCACTTCCAATCTTTCCTTATTAACATATATTTCCTTCTCCATGGCAGTTTTGTTTGTATGCATTATCTTTGTTTTTGCTATGTTAAGAAATAAGTTATGATTTTCACTATTTCTTTGGAGTGAGGTTAATAAGTTTTCTAAACCACTTTGTGATGTTGATAGTAATACAGTATCATCAGCATAACGAATTTCTGGTATTTCATGACCACCGATGTTTAGGGCATCATATTGTTCTTTGTTTATATCATCTTTTACATTTCTCATTATATTTTCGGCGTACAGATTGAACAAATACGGTGACAGCACACATCCCTGACGGACTCCTTGCTTGATGCCAAACCAGTCTGATGTCTCTCCATCTATTCTGACTGCTGCTTGCTGATCTTGATAGAGCATTTTAATGAGATGCACTATATGTGATGGAAAGCTCTTAAAGAATACTTGTACATAAATCCTGTACTACAACATTTATGTCCTTATTTTGTACTCTGAGAGGGGACAGCAACGTACTTGTTTTGTGTCCGTATAGGTTTCAATTGGCTTATCATTACTCGGTCTGTTTAAACTGATACATTCTGGACAGTAAGAACAATCAGGCGATGGTCACCGCTCCCTAATTGGTCTCCTACCTTCCTACTTCTCAGTCCAGATATATCTGGGGTAGGGAAGGCAAAATCTTGAGGTGGACATTGTCTGCCACCTTCTGGGAGTAAAAGGTAGGAGGTTCTGACCAGGATCAGAGAGTAATCATCTTGCCAATTTTCACCCCTGTTGTCAAGATAGTTATAGCTCCAGCTCTGTGAATGACCGTTGAAGTCTCCAGCTGCAGTACAGTTGGTATCTGGTACCAGCACAGAGCTGAGACTTAACGACTTCTCACTAGGGCAGTAATAGTCCAGGAGGCCCAACATGTGAATTGATACTATTTTGTGTGTGTGTGTGTGTGTGTTACAAAGGGAAGTACTCCTTTTCGCCAGCATTTTTTTTTTCTGTGACATTTTTGTCTATTCTATAACTCAGTTGTCTATTCCTGTTGGTGGCAGAGTGGTAATATTCTATTTAGCCGACATTTCCAGCCTCAAACATTTGTCTTCCCGAGAAACTAGAATTTCTCACTATTTTCTTCAAAGGGTTGTTAGATGTCCGCGTATATAAATTCTTTCCCGATATACAACAGCGAATCATGGACAGCTGGTAGCAAATTACTTGGAGGCGGTGGGGATATGGTTTAAAAGATACATGATGAGAATACATTGGACAAGCCAAAAACAGTAATAAAGATGTCTTGAAATAAATAGACCGACAAAGAGAACTGATTGC